GACTTCACTACTCTATTAAGTGCCAGAGCATTGTCCTTTCCTGCTCAGTGACCAGCCTCAGGTGCCCAGTGAGGCAAGTTTCACAAGCCAAGTTTCAGAACTGGCAGGGTAATGGCTCCCCTTCCACCACCAGAAAGAAATTTCTTGAATCTGTATTTCAGAACATCCTGTATTTCTACCACAATTGTGATGGCCAGAAATCTGTTTAAAACAAGAACCCCGGCTCCTCAAAAGTTGCTTGATTATGCAACAGGAAGTATTAATACTGTATCTCTCTTGTTTAGAGGTACCAGTATTATCATGAGCAGTACTGGTCCTCCATACACTTTCCAGTATTTCTGCAGTAGCTTCATGGCTCTCTTGAAGCTCCAGAACCTCTCATCCTCTAGTTTTGTCTGAATCCCCTTTCCCCTTTCATTACCCAAGCTATATATCCCTTAAGGAAACGGGATGCAGCAAACCTTCAGGGAAGATGTTGTCTTTCCTGCTTTCTTCACTGCCTTTTGCTAAAAGATTTTGATTTGTTGCTATTTGCAGGGCTACAGGCACTGAAGTTTTGAGTAAAAAATGCATTTTTGTTACCAGAAATCCTAAAAGGAGCTATAGGGGAGCCCTAAGGAGAATTCTTCAACTGTCTGAGAAATTCCCCCCAAACAGTTGAGGACACATAATATTTGTGATTATTTTGAACTTCTAGCAATACTGCAGTAGTGCTTATATTTATTCAGCACCTAAGGCAGAAAAGCCTCCCTAATCAGCACAGGGAAGAGTTGCATTGTAAGTAACTGGGCTTCTTGTGGTATTTGATGGACTGCTTCCATCTGGCTGAACTATTACCCAGCACACTACTCAGCTTTGTAGCACTTTATACTTATTCACAAATGCACAAGAGTATTTAGAGCTATTTCCTGCATGAGTTAGTCATCACTGGATGGCCATCCATAAAACCTCCACTGGGATATAAAGAGCAGACATCTGTCTGCATGGAACTGAAGGTGTGACATGTAAAAGCACCCAAGATGGTGCTGTGTGCCCAGAGCAGTAAAGCTCCAGACTTAGCTCAGGCTGTGCAAAATCCACTGAGAATTCAAAAAATCCACTGGAATGAATCTGGTAGCCAGCGTGTGTGCAGATACATCAGCAATATCAGCGGGTGAAAAGTCAGGAGGAACAGATCTCCACACAGTGTTCTGGGGAACGTGCAGCCTTTGTGTGCATTGAATCAACATTTGCTTTTCAGTTAAGGGAAAAAGCTGGGTGCCATTAAAGATGTGAGGCTTTCTCAGATGAAAGCCTCTATGGGTTTAAACCATGGTTTACCTAAATGCAGATGACCAAAACCGTAGTTTATGTGAACAGCAGAAACCACATAAGCCTCAAAGAGCCAAATTGGGAAAACTTTTGAGAGAAAACAACCTTTTTTTAGCATATTCTGACACATGCTGCTTGAGATTGGGTCAGCAATGTCCCAGGAATTGGAGTTCACTCTGTGCTTATACATTTGGTTCTTGTCCCAGAAAGTTTGGAGAGGTGTGAAAATGAAAACTGGCTGTGCTGAAAGTTAGCCAGGCTCCTCTGATCATCAAGGAAGTTCAGCTCAGGTTTCCACCAGCAGCTTGTGGTTTGGAATGAAAGAGACTATTCTAGTTCATAGCAGGATGTAAACACCCTTGGCGAGTATTACCCTTCTTTGGAGACCTCTGGCCACCTGCTCAAGCATCCATCCTTATTCTGAACTTATTGCAAGTGCCCTGGGATTTGGTGTGGAGGAGTGGCAGTAAATACATGTTTTCTCCACTGTCTGAGAAAGCTTTGAAATCATTGCTATATGTGCCAGGGGAGAGGGAGAATGTGAGCATGATTTTACACACGCTGCTGGGCCTCTGCCGGAGGGCCTCATGCCCTTTTGCCTCATGCCTCCCAGCCTCTCCCACCCCAAGCTACCCCACACAGACCTTGTGCCCCAGCCAGAGCAGGGCCCTGATGTTTGCTGGCTGATCCCCAGGATCTCTGAAAACACATTCTCCCATAGATGCTGCTGGCACCCGAGAGCCTCATCCCAGCCCAGCACTGTACTCTTGTGGGGCATTCTAGGGCAATCCCCCACCGCCCTCCTGAGGGGCTCCTGTGCAGACTTCCAGAGGGGCTGTGCAGTGAACTCACTCCCTGATGATGTCCTGGGAATTAATTAACAGAATTAATAAAGTTGGAAAAGACCTCTCAGATGATCGAGTCCAACCTATGGCCTAACACCACCTATCAACTCAACCATGGCACTGAGCACCACATCCAGTCTTTCCTTAAACACCTTCAGGAGCAGTGACTCCACAACCTCTCTGCAAAGTCCATTACAATATCTAATCACCCTTTCTGTAAAGAATTTCTTCCTAGTGTTTAACCTGAACCTCCAGCACAGCTTAAGGCGATGTCCTCTCATGCTGTCCTGTTCCCTGAGAGCAGGGCGGGCCCCACCTGGCTGCAGCCTCCTGGTCAGGAGCTGTGCAGAGCCGTGATGTCCCCTGAGCCTCCTTTTCCTCAGGCTGAGCACCCCCAGCTCCCCCGGCTGCTCCTCACAGGACTTGTGCTCAGCCCCTTCCCCAGCTCCATTCCCCTCCCTGCACTGGTTACAGCATTTCAGTGCTGAATTCAGGGGCTCAGAATGGGACACAGCACACGAGGTGTGGCCTCATCACTGCCCTGGTCCTGCTGGCCACAGCATTGCTGACACAGGCCAGGTGCCTTTGGCCATCTTGGCCACCTGGGCACACCTGGGCTCATGTTCAGCCACTATTGACCAGCACCCCCAGGACCTTTTCTTCTGGGCCAATTTCCAGCCTCTCTGTGCCCGGCCTGTAGTGCTGCAGGGGGCTGTTGTGGGAATGTGTGACACTTGGCCATCTTGTACCTCATGCTCTTGACTTCAGCCCATCCATCCAGCCCATCCAGATCCTTCTTCAGAGCCTTCCTATCCTCCAGCAATGGAAGAGCCGAGTTCTCTCCCCCCAACACCACAGGCAGCTGCCTCCCCACAGCGCTGAGGGAGGTGGGAGATGGCCCCACTCGGCTGCAGCTGCAGCACTCGCAACCAACCTCTCGAGGGAGCAGAAGGTCAGCACCCTCAGGCTCCTTCCCAGCAAATCCTCCGGAACACAAATCCCTCGTGCTTAGTCCTCGTGCATGATCTGGGGGCCTCGTGGGGTGAGGCAGGTGTGAGCAGCATCCCACCGGGGAGTGCCATGAGGGGCGGGCAGGCACAGGTGCTGTGAGGGACAAGGGACACAGGTGCTGTGAGGGGCGGGCAAGCACAGGTGTCATGAGGAGCAGCAGACACAGGTTTAGTGAGGGACAGTGGACACAAGTTTTGTGAGAGACAGGGGACACAGGTGCTGTTAGGGACAGGGGACACAAGTGCTGTGAGGGGCAGGGGACATGGGTGCCATGAGGAACAGCAGACACAGGTGCTGTGAGGGACAGGGGACACAGGTGCTGTGAGGGACAGTGGACACAGGTTTTGTGAGGGACAGGGGACACAGGTGCTGTGAGGGGCTGGGGACACAGGTGCCGTGAGGGACAGGGGACACTGGTGTTCTGAGGGACAGTGGACACAGGTGCCATGAGGAGCAGCAGACACAGGTGCTGTGAGGGACAGGGGACACGGGTGCTGTGAGGGGCAGGGGACATGGGTGCTCTGAGGGACAGCGGACACAGGTGCCATGAGGAGCAGCAGACACAGGTGCCATGAGGAGCAGCAGACACAGGTGCTGTGAGGGGCAGGGGACATGGGTGCTGTGAGGGACAGGGGACACAGGTATTGAGCAGGTAAATCCCTGTGGTGGAACAGAGCTGGGTAGTCTGGTTCAAGGCAGGTCTTGGCAGCCCAAGGATCTGGGGCTGCCTTGGAGGAGCATCCTCACAGGGAGGTGCGAGGTCAGGCGTGAGCCTTGCTCTCCACAGCTTGGCAGAGCCTTTCGAGTTAGTGTGTTCAAAGTGCACAGGTTCAGGTGTTCAAAGCGCTTCATGCTTCCTGGGTGCCGTGATAGAAGCTGGGGCAAAGCTGTTCAGCTGGAAACAGTTGGGGCTGTTTGTTTATAGGAATTATGTGACAGAGGTGGAAGTGGTTTGTGTGTGGTTGGGTGAGCGCTCTGTGGGTGGGAGTCACACGTCAGAGAGAAAAACAGGGTTCTGCAGCGTAAGGTGAGCACTCCAGCCCTCCTTGTGCCAACACATGCTCAGCCAGAAGGTACCGAAGAGCACCATGGATTGTTACCTGGTACCTAGCAGACCGCCTGGTGTGTGTTTTATGGTGTTTTGTTAACTTCTGTAGTGACAGCAACATGCCTTTCTTTGTTCTATGTGTGTTAAACAAGATGCTCCTTCTTAATGCATCATCAACTGAGTTCGTATTCTTTTCATTTTCATTATTATTGTCTTCCTCATTACTCAACATGCACCTTCTAAAGAATCCCTGATAGGAATATGTAGGTTGGTACTTTCTTGCACTTGTATGACTGCTGTCGCATTTCAGGTTGTGCCAGCTTTCATTATATTGGTGTTCCACCATGGAAAAACTGGGCTCCTTCCTTCTCTTTCTGCAATTTTCTACTTAGGAGCATTAATGCAGGGTTACAATTATGCTATCATTAAGCAAATTGTTAAAAGGACTTTAAAAGTCTTTGTAATTGAGTGACAGATACTTATGACTGAATCAATTTAAATATTCAGTATAAGACTATCAGGATAAGATTACAGTATTTTGATCTTGATATTCTGATTCTTGCAGTGCTGATTGATAAAGCAGTCCTGTACAGAGAAGAAGAATTAGAGAAGTGAATTTTGCCTCTTTATCTCTTTGATATAGGCTGGGGGTTTAAAGAAAATAAATTATTCATAAGAAGTAGGAGGGTTTTTTTTCCTGAACAAAGAATTTACAGAGTTGGAAAGAGTAATTCAATAACATCATATAAAACAATAATGTGATATTGACTAGAGACCAAACAACGTTGAATCCAAGTGACTTTAATATGTAATGTAGAATATGGTAACTAAAATATAATACATAAAGCATATGTACATTAGATACGACATATATGAAAAATAATTAACAAAATAGGTTAAACAGCATATAAATGCATGTGTCTTAGTTACATAATAAACCGTGTTTGTACTGAAATTTTATTAATCTGCTACTCAGATTTTCAAAAGGTACCTGCTTGAGATTTCTTCCCTATTCTTGAACTTAAGTTTTCATAAATCCTTTTTTTAAGTGTGTGTCTACACACTTATTATTATTATTTTATATATATATGTGTACCATGCATATACATTGTTGATCAAGAAGTTTTATTCTTTTCCTTAAGTAGAAGTCAGAATACGTAACATTGTTCTCTCTCTTAAATATTCCTCATTTTACCTGCAACTTTATTGTGTGTCCTGTGCATTTACTATAAAATGTCAGCGTTTCCTAAATCCTGCCACCAAATGCTCCAACTTACTGAGAACAATGGAATATTACGAGTTAAGCAACGTATTGCTCTGGGACTTGTGCCTAAGTCCCCATCCCTTACATCTGACTGCGGTTTTAATACTTTTAATACTTTGCTTTTGGAAGGAACACTTACCTGACAATTCATGTACTTCTTCCTACATTTTTTTCAGACTATTTTACTAGTATGAGATTATTTGCACTGCAGTTTTTTAAAGGGGTGAGTGCTCTCTCCACTCATAGCAGTACATGTGGGTTTGTTAAGGGTACTCAGGTGTCTGGTCTTTGTACTGAGAATTCCAATGAATTCTGCATTTAAAGAAGGAATGTCAAGAACTGATGTCATGAGAAGAATATAGTTTTATTTTAAATAATTTTTCCAGAACAATTTTTCTTGCATTTTGATGAACCATACGATGAGGGGAGGGGGAAAGCCCTTTCTTCCTTTTTGGAGGTTGTCTTCAGCATCATGGTATTATTCTTTTAATTATTATTCTGATCTTTGTCTGGACACAACCGGTCACTGCTTCCAGTCTTGCAAAAACAGGACAGGAAGTAGGTGAACAGTTTCATACAAGCTGCTTTGAAGTTTTGTACCCACAAAAATCTGAAAAAGTTTTCATATTTTATCTTTAATTTTCTGTTTCATCAATTGAAAAGTTAAAAAAAAAAATCTAACAGCACAGGGGAATGACAGTATGTTAGTCTGAATGCAGATAAAGAAAGCTGTCTCACAGCTACATAGTGCATGAGAAATTGAATGCTTACGTACAATGAATATTTAAAATTCATATTAATTTCACCAGCCTGTCTTCATTTGTTAAAGAGATGTTGCATGGCTAATATAACAAGTTTAATTTAAAGATTCTCCTTTAAACTCATGTACAGACAATCTTAGTAAAGACCTTATTTAATATGACCTCGAGGAGGGAAATTTTCCATTGGTTCTTTAAATTGAGATTGATTAAGTGCCAATGATTTTTTGAGCTTTCCCCAACATTGCATCAGCAACCATGCAACTCCACTGGGAGAACCAGAACAGACTAGAACAGACTGCCCACAAGCATTTTTTCCATAGTGTATAATGCAGATCCACAGTTTTCTTTTGGCAGCATGGATTGAACCCAGGACCTTAGAGTCAGAGTGCAAGTGTGAGGAGGCTGCACAGCAAGATCACTACCCTGGACTTCTGGAGAGCAGATTTTGGCCTCTTAAGGAGGGATCTGCTTAAAGCCCTGGAGACAAGAGGGGTCCAAGAAAGCTGATTGATACTCAAGGGTAATCCCCAAGTTCAGGAGAAATGCAACCCAAAAAAGAAGAAAATACGTAAAAAGGCCAGGAAACCTGCACGGATGAACAAGAAGCTCCTGAACAAACACAAAAAAATAAGTCAATGAGGATGGAAGCAAGAAAAGGTAGTCTGGTAGCAATACAGAGAAATTGTTCTCGCCAGCACTGTCCAAGCAGACAGAGATTAGGTGAGGAAAGCTGAAGTCCTGATAAAATTCAATCTGGTCAGGGACATGAAGGGCACCAAGAATAGCTTCCATATGTATGTCAGTGATGAAAGAAAGATTAGGGAAACGATGAGCCCTGTCTGGAAGGAAGCATTATGCCTGGTTACTCAGGATGCAGAGAAGGCTGAGTTACTCAGAACTTTTTTCATTGGTTTTCACCAACAGGCGCTCCAGCCACACTGGCTGAGTCTCAGAAGGCAAAGGAAAGGACTCGGAAAATGAAGAGCTGTGCACTGTAGCAGCAGATCATGTTCAAGAACATCTAAGCCACCTGAAGGTGCAAAGGACCATGGAAGCTGACGAGAGTCATTTGCGGGTCCTAAGGCAAGTAGTGGAAGAAGTGGATGAGCCACTATCAATCATATTTGAGAAGTCACAGCAGTCCAGTGAAGTTCCCAATGATTGTAAGAGGGGGAACATAACATTCATCCTTAAAAAGGGAAAAAGGGAGATTTGGAGAACTACAGACCAGTCAGTCTGTGCCTAGCAAGGTCATGACACAGATCATTGTGGAAACTGTGCGAAGGCATGTAGAAAACACTGGAAGTGATTGGGACAGCCAGCATGACTTCAGTGAGGGCAAATAATGCCTGACAAATTTGGTGGTGTTACAGCACTAGTGGATGAGGGGAGAGCAAGTCACATCTATGTGAACCTGTGCAGAGCATTTGACCCTGTCCCACGTGACATCCTTGGCTTTTAACTGCAAAGTAGAAGGACCACGCTCAAAGTGTGGTGGCCAAAAGCTCGATGTCCAATTGGAGAGTGACAGGGGACATTCCTCCAGGGCTGGCTTTGGGACTGGCCCTGTTTAACATGGACAGTGGGACCAAGTGCACCTCAGCAAGTTTGCCAGTGACACCAAGATATATGGAGCAATCAATATGGTGGAGGGAAGGGATGCCATCCAGAGGGACCTGGACAGGCTATTTATGTCAATGCTGAACCTACGTAAGAGCAGTAAAAGTCATCTGTCTTGTCTGCACCTTTTCCCTCTGGTTTGCAGACAGCAGCAGGGGAGGCTGGTTAGCTGTAACATATGAGATGGGCTTAGAGGGAGAAGAGCAGCAGCAGTAGAAAGACACCCTGGAGGTAAATAAAGTTAGACAAATCATTTGTTGCTCTGTGCCTGTAGGGTGGGGAAAAGAATAGTCTCCACTGAAATACTGTCTCCTTTGGTATGTGGGAGCATGATATCCTGTTGCCTTTGTTTTCCTCAATGAAGTCGGTTACTCCGCCTGAAACCCAGGGAACAGATGTGCAGTGTGCTGCAAGGAGAAGAAATTCTGCCTCTGGTCCTCGAGGTTCTGGGCTCTTCATAACAAGAGATGTTGGTGAGCTGAAGGAGGCTACTGTGGTAATTGCAAAAGGAAAGGGATCACTTGTGTCAGGAACAATTAATTCTTGTACACACTATCTATTGCTGGAATATTAAGCCTTATGTTTATTATTATTTGGTTAACTCAATTCTAATATGTCTCTTAGTATTTTAGGGGAAAATGCCTGTATGACGAATTCCTTGGCATTTCAGGCTTTTGTAGGTTAAATGACAACTTCAAAGCAGTCTTCAGAAATACTATTGTGTTCCATGAAAGAGGGTCTTCGATGCTTATAATCTATATTTTCAGGATATACTTGTGATAAAATGAGTGCATTCTCAAAGTTGATTTATGCTGGCAGTCTTGGAGCATTGGAGAGGGAAGCTTTCCTCTTCATAAGTGTCGAGTAATACTGAAAAAGCTCAATAGCTAGGGGAAGTGATTTCACTTTATAGCTTCCTAGTCCTTCTATATCATGCATTTTAAAACCCAGATTCTGCAAAATGCAGACATCTCTTCAATACTGTGGTTATATATATATTCTTTACATTATTAATGATCTAAGGTAGAAATTAACTTTTGACATCAAAATTCAGGCATTTAATCTAAGGTAGTTTTCCCTTGGTGAAGTTCCCAGCCTCATATCCTTCTTCCACTTTTCCCCATGACAGCAAATCTCAGGGCAAAGATACCACCCCTAAATACTGTCCAAGGCAGGATACTTACAAAGAGGTTGTAAAGGTCTCTATAAACACACCATGGCCAGAGGGGACCATTTAATCATCAGATTTCATCTACAAAGCATAGCGGGTTTTCCCATTTATTCTCAAAATATAAGACTGTCAGGACCAGGTTCAAACTGAGGTATGAAAATGATTGTTAAACTAACTCCAAGAAAGCCACAAAAAAAATGGAAACTGGGTTAACAGCATATCTTGTCTAGTACTTTGAGAACAGTTTTTCCATTAGAAAAGGAAAACTTCAGATAGGGTTAAGTGCAGCTGTAATAATGGATATTAAGAACATGTTTTCTCTCATTTAAAATGGAATCAATTTATCTTTTTAATGGTGATTTTCACATATAACTCATTATTCTACTCGCAATTTCTGCTATGACAAACACGCATTTTCGGACAATATAGGGCATACTATAGTCCACTTCCTGATATTTTTGGTTTTTTAAAAAATACCTTTTCCTAGGCAGTATCTTGCCATACCAGTGTAATCTGCACTAGAACCCTGTGGCTTTGTTGCCATAAAATATATAATGCTTTTCTCTAAAATTAAAGAAAAAATAGTACAAGAGAAAACTATTTTACCTCTTCATAACAGCTTCCCAAATGAAAGCTCATTCTGCACATACCTGTGTTTTAAAAATATAGTGATATTTTCAATTGTTGTGTGGCATGATATGACAGAAGTATGCTATAATTTTTTTCTTAAACCTTATCATGGCATGAATTCTTTCACAATCATACTGAACTTGGGTTTGTTTTTGTTTTTAAAAAAGAGTATTAGTTACCAGCCATCTGCAACTGTGGCTTAAGGGGCATGTGGTTGTCCAGAACTCCTAACTGTGCCTGTCATTTCAACAGACTGGCATTATTTTCTCCTGTAAAACTTCCAGTGAGATCTCCAGAGAGAAACCCTCGTTGATTATCATCTTGGTATAGTGTCATGGAACTGCCACGCTATGCTGTGTTGGGGGTGCATCCGTTTCTACAAACAGATTCTTCAATGTTGTACCTGCAATATAAGCAAAAACATTTTAAATGTTGGCACATTTGTTTCAGGTTTTTATTTAAAATATATTGGTGAGTGAATGAAGGAAAATAACAAAAACCAGAAATAAAAATTAGCTACCACCAGAATGCAACCAGGGTCAGGTTCACTATGACATAAGAATTTCCTGTAGTTTAGACAAACCAGTCTAGGGTAACTGTGTACCATATACCATCTGCATCTTCTTGAAAGTGGTTTTTTTAGCAGGAGTTTTGTCATTAGGCTTCTGAATTTTCATGAGCTAAGTAAAGCAAGCCCCCAAAGCCCTTACTGTTTCTAAAAATGTGCTTTAGTTTCCCATTATTCTTTCCAGTGATGCAGTGCAATGGTTTCCCAGTCTTTTTGCAGAGGAACCTCACTTAAAGAACCAAAGGTGGAAAGCTGCAATCAGTTCTGTTTTGCTTTAATATTCTCCTACCAACTGCAGCTTTCCCATTGTCCCTCCTACCCAGCCCAGGCCTCTCAGCTTTCTCTTCCTTTGGTTTTGTCCTGTTCTTATCCCACAACATCTCTATCTCTGCTGCTGTCACAGGCAGCAGTGGTACTAAAACAGAGCGAATACATTTGGGCAGATCAGTCTGTTTCTGGTGTCATTTGTGTCCCCTTGCAGGCAGCGTCCTTTTCTCAAGCTCATCTAAATGACTCTCTTCATGGGTTGGAAGGCACTGATGTAAAGAAGTCCAGGTTGAATAAGGCAGTAGAGGAAAGGATATGCCTACTCCTCCCCTGGATGGTTCTTGTTAAGCACCTGCCTAAGGAACTCCTAAAAAATATTATCAGATCTGCTGAGACAGACCTCCCCAGTGACTAACAGGCTCTCGTGGATGCAATTCAGAGTATGGCTCTTGCTGCACTCTTGATTTCCTTGTTCCAGCTGCAACCTCTGCCCATTGTGAGGAGCAGGCACCAGAATAGTGACTGGACAGCCTGACTGATGTACAGGGGGGAACATGGTCACCAAAGCCATCTCTGTGGCAGTGGGAGCTCACTCTTCCCAATTCTCAGTGAAAGCTCTGAAGCATGTAAAATAGGGTTAGGAATTCAACTGATAAAAGTCACCTCAGGAAACAGAAAAAAAATTAAATATGCTTAGAGGTGGCTTACTTAAGTAAAAAACAGTTATTGTCCTCTTACTATCTATATTTCATGTAACTGGATTATAATTCATGTAAATATAAATAAAGACATCATTATACTCCTTCAATACTCAAGGGGTTAGATGTTAGGGTCTCCTGACCACAATCAGTTTTTCAGTGTCCCGAGGCAGTAGCAGAAATGACTCCCCGGTTTGAGCCCATGCTCGAAGTGCTGGGAATAGCTGCATTCCTGCTGCTCTGCTGACCCAGGCGTGCTTCCCAAGCAAGGAGGAGGCCTAATCCTTTGAGAATCCCAAACACAAATCCTGCAGCAGTACTTGGCAGGCCAGCACAGGAATTTGTGATATTCATAAGCTTGCTGCAGTTTGTTTTCCTTGATCTGGAGGCTGTTTTTCCACGGGTTAGAAGGCACTGATGAAGCAGTTTCCCCCTCTCGCGGATTTTCCCTGCGGAGCCCACGCGCAGCACTGCCGGTGGAGCACTGACCCCTCGCGGCTGAGCTGCTGGGTCCGAACTGCAGCGTTTTTATAGAGCAGATATATTTTGTGATTGGGCTTTCCATGACAGGATGGATGAGACCAGGTCGACTGCAGTGAGGAGTTTGTCAGGTTGGCTCCCAAGTTGCATAATTTCTACAATTTTTTTGCTTAGAGGAAGAGTTTCTTCGCCGTGTCAAGTCTTTCAGGATGCATGCCTAAAGTGAGGGGTTTGGCACCTGAAAGTCCCCATGTAACCTGAATGACGGCAGTTCCTGAAAAAATCAAAGAATATGAATATTTCTGGACAAATGTTATGAAAAATCTGCTAAATGCGAAGACCTTCTTGAGCTGTTTGGATTGCTGCTCTTCCTTCTGTTAAGGGTACTCGGCGAAACTCCCAGTGTGTGCCCTGTCATCAGAAAGGTGTTTCTGCCAGTTTGTTAAAGCAATGTCATTTGCAGATCTCTAAAGCCCCATCTGCTATGAAAAATCATGCCAAAGCTCTGTCACTCTGGTGAAATAAATAAGTGTCATCCATTTTACAGTGAAGTAAGTAAAAAACACGAGGTAGTCACGAGGTTATTCACAATACTAACGTCAGGATCAAAGCTGGTAAAGAACAGGGAATTTCTGAACGTGTGTTCCCTGCTCTGGGCCCTGGGAGATGCTGCTACACAGCCCAGAGGAAAGGACAGCAGACAGTGCAATGGCTCTGGCAGCAGTTGAGGAAAATGTCAATCATGCAGGTCTTACCTAACAATCTGAGTTGCAATGAACTCAAAACTCTGCCTGTAATCACTGGAAGTCTGAAAACATCTGTGAGCATCTCGGCCTTCACAAGAATACAGAACGGATTTTGACAGTACAAGGTTCCATGTTCACATGTTTACGCCCAGGCTGAACATTGCTCTGGCCCCACAAAGCCCAACAAGAAGGATTTTAATGATATGCAGGTGTCCCATTCTATGCAGCAGTGTCAGCTGGTGAGCACGAGGTGGCACAGCAGAGCAGCAGTAGGGGAAAGAAGAGAGGGCTGCAGCAGGATATGGGAAGGTCTGGTAGCTGAATTTTCAGGTCCTGACTGTGTGTCTGGCAATTGCAGCGTGTTCCAATATCATCATCCCTACTAAGTCCTGTTCTCTCACAGAATGCCTGATTTTTTAGTATTTCCTAGGTAGCAGCCCAGTCATTCCATCTGCAGATTCCCTAGAGTTTCTGATGAATATCAGCTCAGTCCTGACTGGCATTATTAAATGACTCAGTTCCTGAGCTGGTCTCTACCTGCAAATTAAAACAGTGTGATAGATCCAGTGATGTTCAACTCTCAGTTCCTTCCTCGTAAAATTACATTTGATGTTTTTTCTCTTTTTTTCTGGTGTGACTTTTATAATTTTAATTTATAAGCCTTGTTGTACAGACTTTGAACACTGGGCCTTTAAGGCCAGAAGGGATGTTTTCAAGATCAATTGCTCGTGTGCCTAAGGAAATCTGTTTTAAAAATATTTGATGCAGCCTTTGCTGGAGAGAAGAGTGTCTTGGAAGTTATTAGTGTCAGGAGCAAGTTAGAAAGCAGGGCCACTGTCCCCATAAGGGCTCGGGTTGTTATGTCAGCCTGAGAATTGAGAGTGATTGGATGAGTGAAGTTCAACACGTATTGATGGAAGATTGGACTATTATGGACATTCCAAGCTGGAGAAAACCTCCTGATTGCAGATGAAGAGGAACAGAAGAAGCTGATTCTAAGTCAAGAAGTCTGAACTGAAAGCTAAATAACAACATCAGTTAAGAGGTTAATAAAGACTTCAGTGCCCCCCACCTCTGCCCCACCACTACCACCCCTCCCAAAGAAAAAAAGCTGATCAACTTAGTAGACAATGGGAGTGGGAAACTGAGGCAGGCCCTTTGCAAGAGCTGTTTCTACCATGAGGGAATGCCCTGAAGCATTCATTGTCTCGCCTGGTCATTGAACTGCTGTAACCTTCATGCCAAGGTTATTCAACAGCTGTGCTATCGTGCAGAGCTAATTGCCCCGGCTGGTTGTGTAGATTGACAGTTAGCTGGGAACCATATGGAATGATTTTCAGATGGGGAATATGCTGCCTTTTTAAAGTTTCAATATTATTTGTGAAAACTCTGTTTTACTGGAACAGTAAAAGATGCTTCCAGGAAAATAGAAAAAAATGCCTCACTACCTAGAAGATTTTACAATAGAACAGAATTGATCATAATCAGCATGCACAGAACAGAAAGATATTCTATCTTAATGGTATGCTGTGGAAATATGCAAAAACCACCTTTCCATAAAAAAAAAAAGTATTGTTTTAAAAACTGTAATCATGAATTGGCCTGATTTTTAAAAAATTGAGGGGTTTTATTTTCCAGTCACTTCAGTTTCAGGGCACATACCATTTCAGAATGGCACCTTGAGCACACTACTGCACACTAACAAAAATAAGTAGTTATTTCTACTAAAAAACACATGTTGTAGGAAATTCCCAATACTACTGGGTTGTATTTCAATCCTGTTGAAGACTGACCACTCACATAGAAATACCGCAGCTGTGCTGGTGCTCCATGAGCTCAGAGGATCTCTGTGTAAGGGACAGAGGCCCTTGATACTGTAATATTGTATCTCTGCACTCTATGCAGTTTTGTTTGCTTGTGAAACTCAAATTCTCAGTCTGTGTCAGAATGAGCTTTAGAAAAAATCTATTTCATGTTCCCTGTCCTCTTCCAACCTTTATATGCCACTCCAGAGGTTTTAAGAAGCCCAAGCAGTGTTTTCCAGGTAGAGTAGAGGCTCCCCCATGGTTCAAAGGCCAGGACTGTTCTACAGATTTTGTGATGGCAGAGTTATGCACAGATCAGCACCTGGTGTGTGACCTGACAAATAGTTATATTGTCAGAAGTCACTTGTGCACAAAAAAACAACTTGTCACTCCCAGGTAATCAAGATGTTATACTGTAAAAACCTTTTTTTCGCTGTTATAAGCTGAATCTGCATTGAAATGCTGTGCCAGCACAATATACTGCATAATATTATAATACATGATCCTGTGCTGACAATGCATTCTGAGTGTGGACCTAGCCTAACTTGCTAGTTCCTTCTTTCCCTGAGCTACACAATAGAAAAGGCACAGAAAGGTAACAAAGACAGAGCCTCTTCAACTGCTTCTGGCTGGAAAAACAGTCCTGTAATAGTAACCTGGTCCTTGGCTGTTCTCTAGTTCTTAAAAGTTTGTGTCTGACCCCGTAACTCAGTGATGAACTGCAAGTTTTATACCATTCTAGCCCCTTTTCCTTGCTTTTCTTAACTACATCACATGTGGCTTTTCAGAAACCAGTGTTCTCTTCCTTCATTATGACATTCTTTCCATAAAATTTGTAT